CATTTTCACTAAGGCAACTTCTCCTACGGGAACACTCGAGCGTGCTGTGCACTTGACTTATTTGTTTGCGGGTTGAAAATGAATTGCCACATCATTTAGAAAGTGAATCCATGCTCCGCATGAGTTAATGCGTGAAAGGGGTGTAAGATGAGACATAAATAAATCATATCTGGAATCACACCATGGCATATTTATTGTCATGCAGGCAAAATCAGTGCTTAGAGTGCAATTACGCACAGGTGGAGGCATTCCTAGAGAGCACAAATTAATCAATGGGCCCTGGCATAAGACCATATATAGCAAGTCACTTGAAAAGCCACTTTTAATCGTCACTGATGAGTGTGTCTCGGATAAGGTTTTAACATCGCAAGTAAATGCTCTGCGGATACTTGTATTGCTTGTTAGCGTTAAGAATTATTCGCGTCTGCAGTTATAAAATGCTTTTAATGCATCATACAAGCATGTGTATCTAACGCACGTCAGGTAAATTGTATGACGATATTAGCAGACGCAAGTCCACAGCTTGCCGCTCCAAAGTTGTTAATGCATTATTCACTAAGTTAAGTAACTTTGAGGTTGCAGGTTACGATCAGTGGTAATAATTGAATGGATCGTAAGGGCAAAGTGGGAAACAGATGCATCAGCTTTTGTCAATTGCCTAGAGTTACAGTTAATGTGAACAAATCCTTGCAGACCCTTCAGTGCGCAAATTATTGTTCCACTCAAAAGCTTTGAGGCCACATCCTCATTTTGAAATACCTGTTTCGTTGTGAGGCTCCAAAAACAGGACCTGGTGAGTTTCACTGAAGGGTTGGGAAAAAAATAAGCCAATAATCGTATGAACAAGGATGTTTAAGCCCCTAAGTGGGTGGTGCCTTACCACACTTTTTTCTAGATTCACATGCGCAAATGGATCCAATTTCGAGTAAACTCTTAAATGCGATACTTTATTAGTTTATAAACCCTATACTTTGAAAGGTTTCTTAGTTTTCCTTCATCTTAGTCATGTGGCCTACCTCAGTGATAAGATTCACTCTTTTTTTCTTCCTTGAATGAATATAATTATGTAATTAAATGCACTATATGCATTCGCATTTACAATTCACTGATACGCATGACCATATATGAAACAAGGTAATTAACTGTACAAGAAAAAAGTGATTTGAATCATCACTGTAGCATTAATAAAAGGAAACGTGAGAATTGCTTCAATAGTCTAAATAGCAGCCAAAAACAAGTTTCGCCCACTCTTCTTCTTCTACCGCCTATGCCATCTACAAAAACCGGAATACTGCAGATTGCAGGCTCACGCTTCGTGTGTGGCTCCATCATGATGGACGTGCCCCTTGACCAGTTTTGCTTTGCAGAATGAACTGCTAATAAATGTTCCGCAATTTCCCCCAAGATTTGCTACATTTTCATAGCCAACTCGAATCGCTGATGCGTAATCGTCACCACAAATGCCATTCTCCACACAAGTGATGCTGTTGCCACTACCTCACGTGTACAATCAGTGATAGATTTGTGCTTGTCAAAAGCATTTGCAGCCAGACGCAGTGTACTCCTTCAATTCGCTCTCCCAGTACACTTGATTGCAATACTGAGGATGGGTGGTTGTGCACATAGTGGAGGGTAGTATGCAATTGAAGGTTTCGCTTACTTAAATGAGCTTTTGGCGAGGTAGGAAAGTGAACGAGACTGTTAAAAGCTTAGCGCATGGAAATAAAAGTTCTTGATGTTTCCACTCGCGAAGTTGAGCAATGTCGCAGCTAACACGATGCAGATGAAAGAGAACGTAAAGAAGCGATGGATGGATGGATAAATGAAAGGACTAGGGGGCTCTGACCGAGCGAAATGCAGTCTGATTGCATATGGTTGAAGAGGTTGATTGGAGTAAGTGATAGAGCCATGTCAGCTAGAGTACTAATTCTATTGCCCACAGGGCAGAAGGAAGGTGCTTGATCAACACCTCATATGTGCTACTGATATCATCCATTTGACCATAAATTACTGGTGAATGCCGCCCATATCAACCGACAGGCAATTAGGGTAGGCGGATCCCCTCAACAATGAAGTGTGATAGCACTGGACAACCACCTTTGTGATGCAAGTAACGTTTATGCATTCAATCAAAATGAGTGCGTATGGGGACACCGTACACTGCTTTGCCTCAGTAAAAGCATCATTTTTAGACTTGTGCAGTTTTCATGCTTCTGACAGCTACTCCAACTTCGTGGTAACTAGGCCAATTAACCCTGGCTACCCTCCCACCGCCACGCACACACATATTTTGGTCACTACCTCATAAGTGTCGCTGTTTGCGGGTGAAACACATGCCTCCCCAAGTATTGAGGCTCAGCTGGCACCAAATGCAATTGCATATGTTCATAGGAATGGGATGAGCTTTAACCAAATTCTTTTCTACCACTCTAGACAGCAGATGTTTTCCGTCATTCAAAAAGTATGCGCTTTGCTAATTATCCCCGATTTAGAAGCGCTGTAGCTCCCCGACCATTACATGAAGACGGAGGAAGACATGTTATGGTGCCATTATGTGTATTGTCGACATACAGGAGGGTTTGAGGGTCATTGGCGTGACTCGGAGGCCAGGTCTGGAATGGGAATTGCAATGGCGGAGCCCCTACGTAGCCCGTTACTAAGACCGAGAGTTGAACGAACAATTGAAGTATTACAGTAATTCAGGTCTATCAAGGTAAGTCAAGAGAAGTGTGGATTGATCATTTCAATGCTCAAGGTCGGGTAAATGACAAACCGCTGTCGAGTGTAACTCTTTTACACTGAAATGATTCAGAGTTAATTTTAGGTGCTTCTGTAATAGGGTGCAGCAATGTTACTTTCACCCAAATAAATGCCGGTGGAGCGACTCATCGACATGCCACCCTCTCAAGAAAGGACTACGTTTTTTCGGTGCAAGCAAGACAAAGAACGCAAAGGAAATATCGCCTCACAAGTTTACAGCAATGCGTACTTTTGTGAGGTGTATTTGCAGACAATAATCATGTCAATCAAAGCATTGATGTTCACACGAGAAACCCGGTGCCATTGTGTGGGACGAGGGAGGATTTAACTTAATTCCGTCTAATGTAAGCGTTTGGAGGCATTAGGTAATGCCGCCTAACTTTCTCAGCAGCTGTACCAATGAAAACTGCTTAAGGGCCAAGTGAAAGAGCAGTGGCTCGTTCCATTTGACAAGATGATTATTGTTTGTCCACAGGAGACCAAAAGGAGTTAAAATAAGGCTATT